TGAAAATAAACTCATCCAATCTTTGCATATGACACCCATTGCAAGATATTTTGATTTTTACTTGGACAGCAGTATCTGTCCTTACAAACTTATTCTCAAAGTTTCACTGGTATGATATTTACCTGGATGAAAAGAGTCTGACTAAGCTGTACAAAACAGATCAGTTGCTTAGGGTAGAAACAGGACTTAATTTTGGAAAGGCCTATGTTCACTGCCTACACAGATATGAAATTCAGGTAGTGTTAGATAGACTATTTCCTTCATACTATGTATTAGAGCTGTCAAACAAATTCTAGCGTTCTTCTAGCTTTATCACAAAGCTCCTACCTGTAGGTACTTCCCTTAAAACACTGATAAAAGAAAGTACATATCCTTCTTATGTGGAGGAAAGCTTGGAAAAGGAACAGTTAACAGCATAATATGAGTGGAAAAAGAGAAAAGGAGAGCTGTTATGTTTTTCATTTCTTATCCCCCTTCATGGTTTTAAGCCAACCTGCCAATTTATGAATTCTTATTGTTTAGATTTGGCACTGTGGCAGCACAAACTCTGCTATGAGTGACTATCTGTTCTTTCTTTTGGACTGTAAACTTCCTCGGACGGGAATTATTGTTTACTGCACTTCTGTACTGCATCTTGCTCAATCTTTGGATCAGAGGTCTGTGGGCGACTGCATTCATCGAGTAACAGGGGAAGGGCAATGACTTACCATGCTCTCTGAGACAAACCCAGTCCTAACAGGTTGCCCACAAACTGTGGTCTGGGAATCATTGTTCTAAGCTTACTTGTTTATTTAACATATTCCATACTTGTAGCCTAAGAATTATCTTCTCTTGACTTTGCCACGCATTATTTCAGGGAGCAATGGAGAATATTTATGTAACCTTTTAATTTTTTTTTAATTTTAGTATTAGTTTGCTTATTTATATTTAGAGTTTCAAAAGACACTAATGTAGCTAGGTGCCTTTGAAATCCTTGCTTATTTTTGGTACTGCTTGTAGGCCTATTTGGGCAGATTGCTCCTTTTTTTAGTAAATCATTCTTTTTTGAGAATATACAATCCAGATTGCTCCTACCCTGAGTGTTTATAAATTATAAAACCCCCTACTATTACATATATTCCCATGTGGCTTGAAATACTAGCAGAATATATAATATGCTCACCCACAGTCAGTACAAGACCAAGAAAAGAAAAAGGAGCAGGAAAGCACTAGCAAATTATGATATTGGCTGGCAGATCCAGGACCTCAGCTTTCAGAAGATGAGAAGGCAACTGTTAGCTTGTGGTTAATTTCCAGAAGGAAATGACTAGCTGCTGATTTATAGGTAAATACAGGATTCAGATATTGAAAAGACATGGGACGAATTTTTCAGAATGAGCTACTGATCTTTTCAGTTTCTAATGATTCTAAAGAACAGGTTTAAAGGCAGTTTGAGGATGCCTGAATTTAAGAGAACAAGAATTGAGCCCCTCTGTAGAGCTCCAAGTACTTTTAAATATCTTGCTCCTTTAGTTTAATGTTAAGATGGAGGCAGTACGAAAATCAAATAGTGAAATAAACACGCTATGGGAAGTCAATAAACAATTAAAGCAAGTACATTTTTTACTATACCCATTCTGGATTTAAAACTCGAGATTGAATTTTCCCTCCAATTTTATTACTTACAGTGGTTTAAAACATAAAGAAATGCTGTTGATTTGGATGATCTTATTCCATTCAAAAGAAAATTTAATTATAAAATACAAAATGACATAATCTGAAAACCATATAAAAGTGAAAACCATAACTCAATCTAAAAATATAACTCAGTTTGCAAATAAAAAGTTTAAACTACAAATGCAAAGAAAGAAATCCCCTCATATGGCTGTATTTTTAATTGAAAACTATTGAACTATTTTAAAAGTTTTAATCTTTTATTTGGTTTTTAACATAAATATTGAACCACTGACTAAAACTTGACTTCAGATAATTTAAAGTACTAAAACTTCACTGACATTATTTATTTCTGGTGAAGTTACTGTTAAGTGGTTTTGTTAAAGACTATGGTCTCTAAAAACCAAAAGAACTTCACATAATCTATTAAGTAAACAGGTAACACGTCACTCAGTCTTCATATTAACTATGCGGTAAGCTAGAAAGCTTTTAGACAATACCAATTTTGGCCCAAAAAGTTATTGTTCTTTCTTTCAATCAAAGGTTTGGTTTGATTGACATTACTGTATTTATAAGTTAACAACTTCACTAAATGTGAAGATCACTCCAATTTTTTTGGCAGTTGCTGCTATCACATGATAGAAAATATTCAATCAGTGTTTGTCTAAGAACAAATTTACTTTAACAAACCTGAGATAACCCTGGTTTAACTTAAAAATACCACCGATGGTATTTAGTTGTGTTGGGTAATAAAGAAATAGTCAGCATTTAAAGTTCTATTTATGTCTTGGGTTGACTCCCAAGGTAAATTGTGGATGATTTTAGGGTTATGACTTGAAATAATCCAAACCAACAAAATAACATACTGCTCAAAACACAAGCTTAATGAATCCTTTTCCATTTCTGATATTGCCGTTATAATGTAGTTTGTTATAACGTAATTTGATAAAGTTGTGCAGAAACTAAGGCATGGTGTTAGCAATCAAAAGTAGTTTCCTTTTCTAATGGCAGAAATGAAACTCTTTAGATGACTCTTCTTGGCATATGTTATTTTGAATATATGCTATTTTTGGACACTGCAGAAAAATGCAAATTCATAATGCTCTAATTTGGCCAGAAAGATGAACCCCAACAGATTAAACCACATGATCATGCTACCAGCTTCTAAGATGCCAAATACAAAAAAACACAGAGGTCTCTGTTTCTTGTGAGGAATGATGAACAAAGAGAACTTTTGATGTTTATTCTTCTGCACCCTAAAGAAAGAGGACTGTCCAAAATAGTGCTATTGTGGAATGATGCAACTAAGAGAGAGGATTCAACCTTATAGTGACCTTTTAATCTTCCTTCAGCCCTGTATCAGATTCTTCCTACTGCCCTGCATTTAAGAGATTTAGAAAACACTTCTTTAATGGTGTTTAAAGCTCTTATTGCCAGATAAAGAACAAAGACTATTCATATGATTAAATATTTATAATGCATTCCTAGCAATGCCCCTCATATATATGCCCCTCAAATCAATTGCCTACTCCAAAGTTACATTGCTTGAGAGCTTAATGCATAACACTGCGCCCAGGAAATACAAATTCTTAATTTGTGAGTAAATAATCAAGCTATTCCTCTTCCTACGCTTATATATGTTTTTAATATATTTCTAAGAAAAAAAAATGTATTTAGAAAGAATATAAATTTTCAACTGGCATATTGATATACTGATTTTATTAAGGACAAGGATTATTAAGCCAAATGTATGTGTAGAGGAACTTTCATTTTAGTATGGGCTCCTTTTAAAAGAAAACATAGCCTTCTTTACTAATTGCTTTCCAGCATCTTTTTAAAGGAACAGGGAAACCAGTAACGAGGCAATGATATTTCTTAATAAGCCAGAAGAGGGAGCCCCTTAATAGCGCAATCAATTTTCAATCCCAGTCCCTCTGTGGCTGTTCCTGAAGTTTCTGCTATACATGAGGTTAAAGTGAGATGAAACGCGAATGCTGCCAGAATGAATCTTTCTTTAGCTGTGTTTCACAGGCTAACAAACGATAATTAACAAAACTGTAATTTTCTATCACGCTTTCTTTTTTTTTGAGAACAAAGGAGACTAATAGCTGAGTTCCCATGGTCTGCCTTCCCTACTCCTAAATTAATATAAAATGACCCTTCAAAGCTTCAGCGTGCTTTTAAAGTGCCTTTCTGATACAATGTTGTGCAGTTTTAATTTTACTACAAAAGCATCACACAAACATCTGTGACTCATCTATGCGTGAAGATAAAAGGGGGGTGGTCTAATGCAGGCTGAGAGGAGCCGGGAAGGAAAAGATCACTATATCCAGAATTTCTTCATAAGTAATTCTATGAGACAATGTCAGAATTGTGATATATATCAGCCTCGGTTTATAGGGCACAAAATGGATCTTCCAACTCTTTTTCCATACAGTTCTTTCTGAGAGCAGTCACCCCAGCCAGATTGGATGTGCTCCATGTTTTACCACTCAGCTTATTTTCTTCTAACATATGTGTTTACTTCTCAAACTGAAACAGTAATCTTGCCATTGTCTTTTGTAATCCGTATTTGTAATAATGCAACATTGCTGACATTGCTAACAAACCACTGAGTTTACTGAGCAAAGGGGACTACTCTGACAACATTGCTGTGATAACACAGACCTTAGCAAGTACAGCTCTCATTAGCGAGAGGGAGCAGGACTACAGGGACTAATCTTTTTCTCTGCATGGGTATTTTGAAAATCCTTTCCCTGTTGTGTACCAAAGCACTTAAGCAAATACATAAAACTAAGCTTAAGTTAATTACTGATTATTTAAGTAAATGCTAACAGATTTTGCTGACTGGCAATGGTCTTACTTTGGGCAAAGGCTTGAAATCAGAACTGTGTGCAGTAGATTGAAGTCTAATGAGAGACTCAATATCAAAACCTTCACTCAAAACTAAATTCACAAAATGAAACACTGGAAATGAAATGGAAAGACTCCTTGTGACTTAGAAAGGATCAGGGTTACTGACTTTGGCCTCAGTGGGAGTTTTGCCTGAACAGGGCTATGCAATGATCTCAAAAGTTTTTAAGTAAAGGCCAAAGTGAAGGAAAACAAATATTTGTATTCATTAAATTTGTTGAGGTGCAGGATTTTTGACATTGCTGAAAACAAGCATCTTCCTACTAATAAGAGAAGCACAAATATCAGCTCCACACCCCCCAGCTGGCGGAAATAAACCGATGCCGATCACTTTCTCATATCCCACCTCCAGTATGGAGCTATTTTAGGACTCAGCCTTTGAAGGAAGTCCTTTGTTCACTTAGAAAAATACACATAAATTCTTTTTTCTTTACCTGCACTGGTGCCTGCACCGGTTGTGAGGTCCCCACCCATGAGGCCACCTAGGGGGTTGAAATGAAATACTACAAATGAGCACGATAAATTATAACAGGCAAACACTCAAAACATTTTCTCTAACTTCAAACAGCCCACTCCAGTACCCACCACTGTTCTCCCCTGACTTCAACAGGCATCGGATTAGATCCATAGTCATAAAATTGTAATGTTTAATGTTAGCTGTGCGAGACATTTGCCTTTCAAGGACAAGCAAAATATGTAGCACACAACATTTCATAATTTTATTTTCATGCTTCCACAGCATGTAAAAAAATCAATTATATTTGAAAGTTATGTATCGTGGTCCTTCATTTGAAAACTGTCCTTAGTTCAGCATTAGTTGGAAAAGCAAAAGCTTCCACATAGGATTGGGAAGAAGAGACTGAAAGTTCCTGGATGAGAACATAACTCAGAAGCTGTAATATATATTTACATAGCTTTTCATTTTAATTTCCTCAGCCTGTCATAGACGTTCACACTAAACATTTTTAAAACTTCTCTTTGCACTTGGGGACCTCAAATGGTTCTTTGAACCCAGTGTACTTAAGGATCTTGATGTTGCTTCAGCCAGACAGACTGAATGAACTTAATCCCCGTTTATCCTATTCAGAGGTGAGCCCTCATCATCACCAGAGCAAAGAACAGCCTCCTGCTATACATGGCACTCAAGTACAGAGCTCAATTAACATTATCCATCAAGGAACTTGTGAATGCATAAATAATAACAAATTCTGCATTTAGCCTCTAAACTGATGATTTAAGTAACGAGTGTCCTATTTTACTTGGTTTGTGTTGGCTACATATTTTCCCCTGCCCCTTAAGCTTTATAGTATAGTGAGTTCTTGCATGAATTAAGTAGACAAGCTGCCTTTTTATGAAACAGCAAATTGTCTGCCCTTTTATCCTTTATTGATTTCCTTTAATCTTAGTCAATATCCAGCTTTTTCTAAAACTTTTTTTTTTTAAAATTTATTTTCTAAGTTGGGGATAGAAACCCCTTCGGCTTTTCTTTTGATTTTTCAACACAGCAATTTTGGACAAACTCTTATGACTGGGAAAAACAGTTCTTTTTTCCCAGAGCACAGTTTAAAGTGACCTAAGGCACAGAAGCGGCTGATAAAAGAGCATTTAAAGGGATGGGATTGAACAGAGCCTACCTGTGTTACCTGCACTCGGAGGCCGATGTGTCACGCCAGGAGACATGCTATTTCTTTGCAAAGAAGGATGAGCCAGCGGCAAAAGGTTGGGGTTTCCCAGTGAGCTGACTGGGTTACTGTATACCAAACTGTTGTGGTTGGACACTGGGATAGAAACTGGCATCTCAAAGTTTGGTGGTGGAACAGCCTGTACGAGCAAAAAAGGGAAACAAAGACGAGAATAGTACAGAAGCACAACAGCCTTCAAGTACAGTTACTCTATATTTAGTTCAAATATTTTCTAGTTGGTGGTTAAAATATTTAGCTTGCCCCCCTCCCTCAAGAGTCAAGAGAAGAGTTTCAAAAGAGTTACCACAGCTTTTAAATGCGATTTTTCAAATTACGATTCCATCTTCCTCTAATGTAGCTTGCACACTTTGTAAGAACTGGAAAGTTTTTTCTTTCTTTTTTTTTTTTTAACAAAACCCTGCTTTATGAAGCTTAATTTTCTTTTTCTTCCATTCTGTGAAGTTGTAATTGTTCACTTGTGTTATCTTAATCTAGTGTCACAGATGACTGCAAGATCAAAGGTACACGATTATGATGACTTCATTGCACGGAGAAAAAATTAGAAGGGGTGGAATGCAAAAGGGAAAGCTTTAATTTCAGCTTATGTTGCTTTAGCAACCAGAATGATCCCAAATCACGTTAAAAGCACCAACGCAGTAAATTACTTTTTTAAAAGTTTCTATCCTAGCTTGGAGGGGCTTACAAGAAACAAAGTTCTCCTTAGGGACAGGTAATACAAGAATTTTAGATACACCCCAGTCTTTGCGTTCTTTGGGTTTTATTTATTTTCTTCTTTTTTTTGGGGGGGAGGTGGGGTGGGGTGTGTTGGTGGTGTTTGGTGATGCCTTTTCAATACACTGTTTTCATACTTTTAGGCAGGATCCTCTGCTGAGCCACTTTCCTTTGCAAGAATCCCTTTCAAAAAAGAAGTACATTATAGACCACTCTGGCAGAGAGTGTGAGCAGAGGCAGTACCTGATTCTCACTGTGCTCTTAGAAGGTCCAACTCATGTTTTCTTGGTTGGTTTCTGGGTTTGTTGGATGAGGTTTTCTTGGGTGGCAGATGCCTGAATTTCTTTAAAATTTATGACTTTGGTAGCATTCAAATACATTCCAACTCCCTATCTAATTCTCTTGTTTTTAAAATAATTTCTTGCCTTTGTGAATGAGAAGAAAACATTTTCAGAATTGCCTGACAGTATTTTAAATATTCAAATACCTGAATGCAAATAAAATACCTCTTAATTTGTAATTTAAAAATCTTATAAGCTTCAAGAGTCTAAACCCATCAAAAATTATTTAAACCAGCCTTGCAACATTTTCAGAGGGAGATTTTAATTTTGTTGTTGTCAGCCGATGGCACTGTTAAGTCTTCAAGGACCTAAAGGGAGAACGTTGAGAGCTGGACACGTAATCTGCTGTGTCGGGCAACAGAGGCATCCTGACCTTGTGCCACCCACATGTCTCTTCTCTGTTCTCTTCTCTGGTCAGAGCTGTTGGCTGTGCCCCATGTATTACAGCACTGGCCATAAAATTACGGTTATCCCTTAAGTTTCTTTTCTGTCTTCTTCCCTTTCTAGGGTTAGACATAATTTTGCTCTAAATATAGAGGAGTAATTTTGCTTAACCACTGAAACACAGAGCAAGATCTTAGTTCATGATACGATGTGAAGAATACATTACATAAATGCCTCAGGACTTATTTCGCTTGCAGCCCAGAAGGCAACCGCATCCTGGGCTGCATCACAAGAAGTGTGGTCAGCAGATGGAGGGAGGTGATTCTGCCCCTCTGCTCTGCTCTGGTGAGACCTCACCTGCAGTGCTGCATCCAGCTTTGGAGTCCCCAGCACTAAAAGTACATTGAAGTGCTGGAGTGAGTCCAGAGGAGGCCACAAAGATGATCCAAGGGCTGGAGCAGCTCTGCTATGAACACAGGCTGAGAGAGTTGGAGTTGTTCAGCCTGGAGAAGAGAAGGCTCTGGGGGGACCTTATTACAGCCTTTCAGTTCCTGAAGGGGGTCTATAAAAGAGCTGAGGAGGGACTTTTTACAAGGGCAGGTAGTGATAAGATGAGGGGCAACATTTTTAACCCGAAAGAGGGTAGATTTAGACTGGCTATTAGGAAGAAATTCTTTACTGTGAGGGTGGTGAGGCCCTGGCCCAGGTTGCCCAGAGAAGCTGTGGGTGCCCCCTCCCTGGCAGTGTTCAAGGCCAGGCTGGACAGGGCTTTGGGCAACCTGCTCTGGTGGGAGGTGTCCCTGCACATGGCAGGGGTTGGAGTGGGGGAGCTTTAATGTCCCTTCCAACCCAAACCATTCTGTGATTCAATGTGTAAATTTAGCTCTGAAAGCCTGTACATAGCCTGTGACCTGGATTTTTAAGAGATGGCCATAACATAATGGCTGAGATCAGGTGGGGCACTTGAGTGGACAGACCTGCTGGCATTGCTCCTCAGCCAGGACTGCATGCTGGGACTCGCATCCCTTTGCTGAGAAGATGAAGGGCCACCCAAGGGTACTATTTTCATAGGGTTGATTGGTTTAAGTGGAGGTGAGGAAGAGAGATTTCTTGGGAATCTTTGTGTTCAGTGGGTAAGCAGCAAAAATACATATGCTGCTAGGTCTGTCTAGGGATCCCGAAGCACATTAATGTTTGTGTTTCACAAACAGAAAAATAGAACAAATGACAATGTGATGAAAAATCTAACTATTGAAATATCTTCTTTATTTCTTCCAGGAGAAAACTCTTTTTGCCTGCATATATTTCAAAGTTGAAGTCCAGATCAGTAGCTTCATAGGTGGCTTATTTTTCAAATTTTTTATAAGGTACTTCACACAACGAGTACCAGTGTACATCACAACTGAGGTCTAGGGTCCTTGGAAATAGGTTCACATAGCATAACCTGAAACATTCTATCAGTCTGAAGATATGTTTTGAAGCAAGACATTCTCCTCACTGGCCACAGTAGGACCCAAGAGGATCCCAAATCCCAGGTAAGTCAGAAGTGCATGGCTCCTCTTGGAGCTCAAAGTCAGCTGCTGCTGCTAGTTTCTGGCTTTTCAAAAGGTTTTAGCTAGTGAATCCACCTGAGGATAAATGTCTTATCTCCACCTCCAGCCTGATGTGAGACATGAATAAGCCAACATGGAGTCTCTTGTTACTGCAACGTTCAGGGCTGTGATGGAGATCTCTCTGCCTGGTGGCTTTAAGCATATGATCCTGCTTGATTGAGTGTCAGCCTGTGTCAGACTGAGTGTCACCCACTGGGGAGAACTTTGAACAGTATCTTCTTCACCTCTGTCATGAGATCTGTGAAATCTACCCTCTGAGCCTGGGTAGATAGCTGATGGCACCAATATTGTCTGTATGTTCTTAACTTATTTTCCAAATCCAAATGTCTGTTGAGTTATCTAAACTAAACCAAATGCAAATCTGAAGGTCTCGACAGTTCTCATCAGGCTTTTTTTTTGCTTTCATCATTATACTCTGTCTTTTTTCCATGTGCAAACCAAACCCTTCAAGGGCTGGAATCTTCTTTTTCTACTTTAGTACAGCACAAAAGAGCTCCAGTCGTGGCTGCTCTTGCAGCTGGCAGTCACACTAGTCTGGCTGGACAGGGTCTCATGAGGTGATGTAAAGGGTCCAAAGAAGGGCAATGGAGCTGGTGAAGGGTCTTGAGCACAAGTCTTATGAGGAGCAGCTGAGGGAGCTGGGGTTGTTTAGTCTGAAGAAAAGGAGGCTGAGGGGAGACCTTATCGTCCTCTATGACTACCTGAAAGGAGAGTGTAGAGAGATGGGTGTGGGTCTCTTCTCACAAGTTACAACTGATAGGACCAGAGGAAATGGCATCCAGTTACACCAGGGGAGGTTTAGGTCAGACCCTAGGAAAAACTCCTACATAGAAAGCGTTATCAAAGCCTGGCACAGGCTGCCCAGGGCAGTGGTGAATCACCATCCTTGAGTGTACTTAAAAGCCATCTAGATATGGTGCTCAGAGACATGGTATGATTTATCACTGAAACATACAAACATTGCTGAAACAGTTTTTAGCTTTCTTTTTGTAATTTTAAAAATATTTTTTAAAGTAGTTAAATTATTTTTTTATTTCTGTAGAAGTGTTTTAATTTTCTCTATTTTACCTACTGTCTGGATACAGTTACATCTGTTTACAGAGTAATTTATAGGTAATTTTATCAGGTCAATACACACTGTATCTGGAATGTAGCAGTTTTTGTTTCCTCTCCTCAGTAGTCAAAGGTTAGAGAGAGAAGTTTGATAAGCACCATGATTAAACAGTAAGTTTCTAGCTGCAGTTTTGCTCCGGTCGCACAGATTTTGTTACAGTCTTACACATCCCTCACCAAGAACTGCAGCCTCCTGCAGCTTCCCTAGTCATTTGTGGTGCTAAGTCATGGGGCATATGTATTCCAGCTAGGCCTGATGGACATTTAAGCTCATGATGCACTTGCGTAATATCTATACTAGTAAATTAAACTTGCCTAGGAACTCAGGCCATCTGAGGCCACAAAGCAGTGCATGTCCATACCATTAAGCTTTCTCAACCTCAAAAACATCATGACTGCATATAAATTGACAATTGGGAATTGTTCCCGGCCTGGGCTAACAACCAAACAGAGCTAAGAAATTGTTTGGGAGAGAGTTATTTGATGGTGCCAACAGCATGCCAGGGACTGTTCACACAATTCAGGGCAGAGATAAGCACCTCCTGCTGCCTTGGTATGTTCTCTCCCATTTGCTAATTTACTAATATAGACAAATCCTTACTCTCATGTGCATGCAGCTTGCTGCATTTTGCTTTTTTTTTTTAAATTCCCTTTGCCTTTTCTCCTTTGGACACAAGTGCCAAAGAGGGCAGATGGCTCACCTGAGAGGACAGCGCCAGCCTACAGCATGCACTGTGTTAGATGCGTGCTCCATGAGCTGTGGCACATTGTACAAAGCAACGTGGGGACTCAAAACCCTTGGAAATTAACAAACCAAGCATTTTGTGTTAAATATTGTTTTTATCCCTCCCATGTTCAACCAGGCCTTCATTTATTTAGAGACAGAGATACTTATAGCTCCCTTCTAGTGGGCTATTTCTGTCTCCTCTGCTTTCATCACTCTTATGAAAACTACAAATAAATGTCTAATTATTATCAGATGTTTTAGAACAATATAAATACTTATCCACAGAAAATTATCTGAGGAAACATTATTGGCCTTAGCTGTTGGGAGCAAAAGCCAATTCTGTTTTCATTTGGCAGCAGCTTTATTCTGTTACAAGACGAGGCACAGGCATTGCATTGTTTTATATATTTTGTAAGTAGTGATTTAATGACTTGGTGACTTTTTGTTCAATTTTGCTTTCTTCCCCCCTACTTTCTTGGCTGCCTTTGATGATCACAAGTAGATGAATATAACTTCCCTGAGTCCTTTGAAGTTCTAGTGATTTGTACAGTTAAGGATATTAATGTATACGGTAGAATATATAATATTTATATGTAAAGATATAAATTTTTATTTACAAATTTTCATTATATACTAGCTTTGAGCTCCATCTTGCCCACTACATCTCGGCTTATGCCAAGAGAAGGAGCTCCTGTTACATTAGAATAGGACATCTAATGGTTCTTCCTTTGTGGTAAGCAGCTTGATGCAGCACACAGACCTTCAGCTCTGCGTGTGACGCATTCAAAGAAGGGATATCCTGTCTTACATGGAAAGAAACACTAACGTTTTGCAGAGCTGTGTCTCTGAAGCATCTCTGAAGTAATTTCACAAAAAGGTAATACACTGTACCTTGTAACATCCCCGCAAGGTAGGAAGTTACATTATACCCAAAATACAGCTCAGGAAACCAAGTTAATCACACGTTAATGGCTGAAGTAGGACTATATGTGACATAAAATGGTTAAATTTAATGGGAGCAACCAGATTGAATGTCCATTAGTTTTTGGGTGGGCAACAGTAATGTACTGTGTTTAGATTAACTGTGTTGTTTCTAATTCATAGAACTTTCCTAGTTTTATAGAAAAGATTATTTTCCCAAATGCTTGTGGACGTAAAGAAAGTGATAGAACTCACTACCACAGGAATGAGTTTTTTTTTCCCAAGGTTTTTTTGTTTTCATGTCTCAAGATTTCAAATGGTTTTAACATGTATGGCTTTGTTGGAACAAAGACAGGTAGCATGAGAGAAACAGAGGATTTGAAGGACCAGACCAAACACCATTTTCAAGGTGGAAAAGTTGCTTGGTTATATCCTATCTGATGGAAAATTCCATCACTTTGATCTGAACAAGCCAAAGGTCATCCTTGTAAGAGGAAAGGCCTGGCAATTGGTAAGATTTTGACATGAAAAAGGATTAAACATTCCGGCTTATAACAGTCACCCTAAACGTTGCAGTTGTTGCTCGTCAAACTGAGTTCCATCCTGAGAAACCAAATTCATGGTGACAGCTTTAGAACTCTTTTTTTTTTTCTGAGAAAAACAGCTATGAAAAAGAAGCATATAATAAGGGAAGTAAAAAAGGATTAAATATATATATGTACTCCTCCCTGGTATTTTATATACATGTTGGATATCCTTAACCAGCCATTCCAAATACTAAATTATCAAACTTGGTGCCATTCTGGTCTCTGGGAAAATCTTTATTATTTACTTTTTTTTTCCCCCAAAAAATACGTTTGCAAATATCTTTGGATTTTAATTCACTTGAATGAAAATCTTTCTGCTGAGAATTAATGGAAAGAACACTTACACTGGATGAGAAAGCCTGAGCATCCTTAAGAGGTAACCTCAGCTTAGGTATTAGATTTTGTACATACAGTTGACTAGCACTACAGAAGTTTGCTCATTCTGGGTATACAGACATTCTTTTGGCAGCTAATCATACGACTTACATGTGAGAATGAGGAATAAACACATCCAAAATGATCTCCTTTAGAAGCAAGCAGTTACCTGTGCAAATTCAGATGCTCCTTTGGACCTAGGCAAATCTTTGGTTTGCTACTTTCTTTTGACACGCATTTGGAAGCAGGGACAAATACAACCTCCAGACCTCCACATTCTTTTCATCAGCTTTATAAATGTAATACTAAACATAATGACAAAGTATTCTCCTCTTGTATGTCTTGTGGAAACAAAATAGCACATGCAGAGTTATTTCTCTTAAATATCTGGCAAGGCATATGACTGATGGTTAGAAATTTTGACTTGGTTAAAACAAAATTTAGCTCATGTTAAAGCATTAAATAAATGCTGATGAGGTCAAAGCAAATGCTCTGATAAAGCTGTAAAATCACCCCAACACACAAACATGTCTGAATCCTACCATTAGGCTCTCATGCAGTCTGTTTCTCTGCAGCGAGCAAGTAGCTGTAACCCTTCAGTGCTGCAACTGAGTTTAGCAGAGACACTTGAGAACTGAAGTGGCACGCACAGAACGCACTAATTGCTATGTATAAAGGAATTTCAGTTCTACATAGTTTTTTCTATGTCACCACAGAAAGTGTTCTGTGGGTTTGTTAGCCTGTCCACAAAGAAAGATTTCCATCGTTATTTTTCAGATATAATTTGGGTGAGTGGTGTGGTAAAACAGTTCTGTAAATCAAGTGAATATGATGTATATATGTATATTTCACTTCCTTCTGTAGGTTTCACCTATAGTAGGCTTTGTCTGTGTGTCAGAGGTAGAGACTTGGAAGAAAAATATGTTGTGTGAAATTTTCTGACCACAGTGTTTAATTATATATCGGGCTATTAAAGCCTGTTTCCAGCTGAAATGTTTTCCTTAAGAAGCCAGAACTGAAAGGGTTATTGTTTGTTACTGCAGCAGTTATCAGCAGACAGCCATCTAACCTTCGGTACTTACAGGTATTTTATGGCTCTTGATCATATTATCAAATTCTTCATTAATTTTTTTGTATTTTTCTTCAGTGCGTGGGGTGAGAGCGTAAGAGGAGTCAGGATCGGGGCTTTCACAACCTTTGTTTTCTTTCTTGTTCAATGCCTGCCAGGTTCAGAGAAATATCAAAAAGTAAAAAAAATGAAAAGGAGCTCAGAGTACTTACACATAATCTTTGTCTGCTGATCATTAGATCAATATCTTCATTAATTTTTCTGTACTTGTCCTCAGACTCAGGGCTGTGACCTACTGAGTCGTCTGCATCGGGGTCTGGACTGTCACAGCCATTAAGTCCTTTCTTTCTCAACGTCTGAAATACACAATTTGGAGAGTTCAATCCTTGACACAGGCTGCAAGAAAGACTCAGCAGTGTTACAGTAATACAAGCTGCCCAGCAGTGGAAGGTTTTACATTGCACTTT